AGTTTCTGGAACATTCGATTTGACTTGAGATAAATACCTGCGACCTAAGGAACCGAGCAATAAAAAATCGAGATAACTGGCACAAAAACCAAGCAGCAGCTAACTTGCATCAACAGTTCTTCGCAAAGCAATGCGAGCTAACCTTCGGCTTCGGACCGTTAGAAAACGTAGGCAGTTTGTTGATGTATAGAAGTGAATAGTAAATCTCTAATGTCTCAGTCTGTGAAGGCGCAAAACCAACATAACTGCTACCAACTTCTCCTTACCATTTTGAACCCTTTTATCCATTCATAGTCTCGAAAGTAATGTTTACTGTAAATGTAAATGGAGTGCACCTGTTTCATGTCATGTAATTTGGGTATTAGACACTGACCAGATGAACTATGGCCAGACAGAACAAGAAAAATGATTTTGTCCGTTTCGTCATTTATATAATTCTCACACAAACTGAAATCTTGAAATGTTTCAACATGATCCATTATTGTACGACGAATAATGTATACAACATCACTGTGCTTCGACTTTTCAGCAGCTGCATCGAACCAAACAGTTAGTAATTTTTCCATCATAAAATAGTTTCTTCTGCAACGACACACACCCTTATATACAAAAAAAACTGAGGTCGCAGTCTCTGAGATCGACTTATTTTATATGTAACCTACGCCATAAAAATAATCATTATTTGTTTTTATCATTCACTGTAAAAAATAGTCGTAGATTAATGGACTATCAAAGAGGGTTTATTGAGACCAATCAGGCATGGGCGAGTCCGAGCCGAGTCCGAGTCCCTAACATTAAGGACCGAGTCCGAGTCCATTTCGAGTCCGGTAATCTTTTAGATTCTTTTTTGATGATTGTGGTTCATTTCTTTTTTTCTGTGCTATTTAATATATCAATCTTGTTGAAACAGAAAAATACTAAAGTAAATTTCTGTTACATTTTAACAATGCCAGTTGAGATAGATTATTTTTCGTAAAACGTGCTCTTTCGCGTAGTATCTTTATATCTCCACTTTTCGCTTATATAACAGCTTTACATGTTAGACAGAAAGGCACAATGTTTAATTTCTATT